TACCTATTATTGTTTTAACGATTTTTGGTGTTCTTACTTATCGAAATCTCAGAAGTATGCATCAAGCCAGGCATCGTCATACAGGAGTCGCTATGAATGTTGCGACATCTGTACTCACCGTTACTAATGTTCCTGCTATACATAATAATGACAACGACAACAACAACAACGCTCATATTTCAACAGATCAACGACAGAAACAGACGATGATTGTCAAGAAACAACAAATTGACAGACAATTTTCGATAATACTAATTTTACAGATCCTATCTTTCTCTATTGCGAGTGTTCCTTCATGTGCCACGGATATCTATTCAGCTGCAACAGCAAACGAAATGAAAAGTGATATGAGTCAAGCAATAAAACGACTCTTTTCAGCTATAGCTGGTGTTTTTGTTTTCACACCTTTCTGCACTAGTTTCTACATTTATTATGTTTTATCTTCAGCATATCGACAAAATGTAAAGAAGATATTATTGAAGAAAAGACAAACACGAATTGGAGCAGAAATTAACGCATAGCTCGCCGAAGTTAATGGATTTAGTTTCTATGTGGAAAGACAACATTATAGGACCAAAAACTTGTTGATGTTGTACTCTTTTTTACTGTTGTTAATTTTAGGGTGGGTGTGGGTATATAGGTATAGATGAAAAGAAGGTATACTCAAACCCTCACATCCGCCCCGCGTCGACCCACCCCTCAAAATATAATTAATTGGTTTTTTTTTCAGAATCGAAACGTGCTCTTTTTTTAGTTGAAGCATCTTCTATCTAATTATTCCTTCATACTCTGAAGCGCTAAAATGATTTAAATGGGCACCTATTTAAGTGCTAAGTAAATTTAAATGAAAACTAAGTGAAAAATTCTATTTTTGCTAAGCGATTTAGTGAACAAAAGTCTAAGTAAAAAAAACTTTTTTGCTAAGTAATTTATATAAATTCTCAGTGAAACCATTTAGTTTTCTATGTAAAATATTGAGAAATGCTAAGTAAATAAATAGTTTTTGCGAAGTAAAAAATTAATTTTTGTCAAGTAATAAATATAGAAAATATAAGTAAAAAATTTGATTGAACAGTTAATCGCTTAGTAATGCTATAGTTGCTTTTCAGTGTGAGTGTGGGTGTGGTACAAATACAATACCCACACCCACCCATCCTCAAAAAATGCTATTGTCTACGTATATAAAACTTGTGTCAGATGAGTAACATCGCATAGCCGATTGAATAAGACTGAACACCAGTATACTTGGATCTAGACATGACCCAAACTCAATACCCAAACTCAAACAGTTTGGATCTGAGTTATACCTACTTGGATCACACATTATTTATTTGTAAAAAGCACAGGTTATATATAGGGGAGTGGATCGTACATTTTTGAGAAATGTACATGGGTTGATCGAGGTAGAGCGGCTGGAATAAATCCCAACAAAAATATTATACATATGAAAAGATGACGAGTAGAAAAAAAAAGAAGGGAAAAACCTAAGATATGTGATGTGTGTAAAAAGAGACGAACACAAGAGAACGAGCGGAAAATAACGACTTGCCCGCCATTTGTCTTTACTTATCAAATTTATGTTTTTTACTTGCTAAAGTATTATTTTTACTTGGTAAAATGTGTTTTTTACCGACAAATTCAATATATTTACCTAGTAATTAAAATTTCAACATATATATTAATTAATATATTTAGAAAAAATTTTAATTATCGAGAAATATTTTTTTAAATGAGCATTCAATAAATTTATTGAACATTTTATTTATTTACCGAGAATATACAAATTTTACTTAGCAAAAATCAACTTAGCATTTATATATTTTTACTTAGTACTTAAATAGGTGCCATTTAAATGTGTTTAAACAACAAAAAAAAAGTCGAAGTTTCTAGAAGTTGCCGTCGGAGATGGAATCAGAATCATTTTTTTGGACTCCAGAGTTGATTATCTAGGATGCATTTACGAACAGTAAGGTGAACATGCAATACACTGAATTTGAATTTTTCCTAGCTGTATAATTTTGAATACTACCTTCTAAAATGAGAAGATAAAGCTACCTCCCTGACTAACAAGAAAGAATAACTAGATATATCAACGCTCTTAAATAACAAATACAGGCACAAACAAAATATGTTAACATGGATGCGTTTGCATATTTTCTTGTAGTAACTTCAAAAGTTTCGTTTATTTGCTTGCCGATTCGAATACCAAAACTTTGTTCGTCTACGCTCATTATTTTGTAGTAGTTTCATGAGATATCTCGATTGCAGATTTTTTTCTACTTTGTTGTGCAGTTGACTCGCTCGCATGGATTAATTCACCAGTAGAAAAGATAGCGAACTATTCTTTGTTTACTCACTAAAGACAAAAGAACGGAGAGGACACAAATTTGATTAAGAAAGTAAAACTATGGTTAGAATATGATAATGCTTTTAGTGTTTACAAAAGCCCTAAGAGTATTTCAATAGTTCAATCAATAATATGAAGTACACCAGCGAAAATAATTCCATATTTCTTCATTGTATCAATCGATATGAATTCCACGAACGAGATCATTGATTTTTATAACTCTATACATTCTCCTCATTCATATGAAAATGACTCATTAAATTATTGGTCATGCATGTTTTTTGTTATTGCATAAGTACTTTTCATGACTCATGAAAGAAAAAATCACCTCCTTCTTCTATTTTTTACCCGTCGTCGTATTATAAATTACGCATGTAAAAACAGAATTGCTCACGAACACAATTTCAAAAAGAAAAAAAAGTGATGACACAAAATATGGATTTATTACATGCAGCTGAATGTGGCCTTCTATCTGTAGTAAAAGACATATTATCCAATAATAAATCACTCATTCGTTCTTGTCGACATGAAAATCGAAGAAACCATGCTTTCAATTACGAATCTTCAGCTATTCACTATGCTTCTCGTTCAGGTCATTACAATATTGTGAAATATTTATTAGAACAAAATCCAACGATTGTCGACGATCATGATCGCGATAATTGGATATCATTGCACTATGCGTGTTACAATGGACATTTAAATATCGTCAAACTATTACTACAATACAATGCTAATGTGAATAAGAAAGATCGTTACCACTCTCAAACACCAATACAGTTTGCTATGTATAGACAATTTGATGAAATTGTCTATTTTTTAGATCCAAATATCAAATTGACATATGACAATGTTGATGACGAATCTAAAACTAAAAATATTCCTGTATTTCGAAAAAAATCAAATTTATTTCTTGGAAGATATCGATTAAATGATCATCATATTCAACAAATTCAATCATTTCGAAGTGATTTACAATTCGCCGATATTGAATTGAATGAAGTTGAAGATGTAGAATTATCGAATCTTCTTGTTCGAATAGTAATGACACATGATTTTAAGAAGCACATGAACAAAACAATAGAATTATCATCATTAGAAGAAGATGTCGACGATTCATTTTTGAGATCATCATCGACATCAGCGCATGAACATGTGATGGTTTTTAAGAATGAATAAACTAGTGGTTTAACAGGGAGTAATTTAATAATATTGTGCTTGATTTCAGAATAAAACGTAAGAGAAATTGATGACTCAATAATCATTCGTTAGATGTCGACGCATACATTCATTTCCTTAAGTAATCTATAGTTTGTTTTTTCAAGTTATTTAAGTTCTAACTTGTTAAGACATGAATCCGCGTCAATGATATTTGAAAGGTTAAGATCAATAAAAGTGGCTGACACTAAACAACGCTCGTACATTGAGAAAACTATTTTGAGAAACATAGATAATTTATGTTTGGTCATTCTATTGCCAAAATAAAGTATTCACAAAATGATCTTTTGAACTTTATCAAACACACAAATGTATAAATTAATGTTTTGTCTATAACAATATCTAACCTGTCATTATAAATTGAATTAAGTTTACATTTAAAACATAGTGGATTGAATTTTGTTGTTCAAACATTTTTATATATCAGACATTTTCTTACATGCCAGTAAAGATCAAGTATCTACTAATATTTTTATTCGTCACACATTCTTTCACTTACTCCAGTTGTTTTTCATTTTTCTTGTTTTCATACAGCTCTAATGTATCATAAACATATAGAATTTTTCTATTACGCATGTACATCTTAATAATTAGATATAGTAAGAAAAACGATCTACTCATCGCTTTTTATTCATGGATTAATTGTTTTCATCAATCCAAAATGATAAAGACAACTAAAAACATTTTTTTTATCTTGATATTTTTCTTTCAAGACTAATACTGTCTTAATATTCTTAAGAAAAACCGTCGTTGACTTTTCTGAATAAATAAGTTGGCCAACTGATTTTATCCGAAACTGCCGTATGTTCTAGGATTCATAAAAAGAAGTAAAATAGAATTTATATCAAGAACATTGTGATGAGACACTGTAAGAGTTGTATGGGCAAAAGAGACGTGATAAGATAACTTGCTTCTATTGTTGTTGTCGATGACAAAACAGAAATGAAAAGAATGACTTGTGAAAATAAATGCCTAAGATTGAATGATGTTGCTTTTTTCTTTAACTTCTCTTCTGATATAAGAGTAACCTTATCATTATATATTCTCAAACCTTTTTTCGTTTTTATATCAAAACACATCTGTCTACTACTATGATAGTCGTCGCCCATATATTCGTGGTACTTGCCTTATTAGCATGCAGCTGTATTGTTGCTCATCCTACAATCTATCCACATATTGCATTGAAGCACGGAAAAGGTAATCGTGTACGTGCTCTTCCAAACCCTCCTCCTCCCATCATCAGTTATCATATACACATCACATATACTCTTTTCAATCCACCAGTATGTATACTAGATATTTAGAATTAGATTTCAATCTGTTGTTATTACAGGTTGTCAAGGAAGCATTAGAGCTTCGCAACCGCACACGTCAACGATTTCAGGATTATCTCGCTCCAGATTGCCCAGGAAGATACGATTATGGATATTTATGTATGATCGATGATCATGATATAGGTACTTACATAGTTTTCTATGATATTTCTTACTCATGATTGTATTTACCGTTATTCCTCTAGAAAATACAACGTTGATTGGTGGACCGTTCGTCAGTGGTGAATGGTCTATCTTTGTTCCGCTTGGTGATTATCCGCTCATTACTCCATGGCTTACCCAAAATAGAGGTATCTTCTTTTATTATCATTAGGAAAATCTTTCAATCGAAATATTTAGGTAATCTCTCTCTACTTTTACATCCTAATACGGGATATGAATATGAAGATCATGACATATGGGCGTTGTGGGCTGGTCAACGATGGCCATTGGATATGTCAATTTTTGATAAAGAGACGCAAACGAATGAATTTGGGGTATTTACACTTTCTTCTTTTTTTCTATAGCTAATTATTTTTACTGTTTTACATAGCATTATCCTGGTGATTCGGATAATCCAGTGTGTCTTAGTAAAAATGGTGTATGTGGGGATGATCAACTTTATACTTCTACTCTATGTTGCTTCGACCTTGCATGTAAGGCTGCTGAAACTATTTCGAATGGCTTTTCAAACCATACAATCCACAGATGTGCTTAATATAACAATACTTTACGCTGTTTGGAAGATAAAAAAACTTCTTTGCTTTTATGAATAAAATAATAAACATACTTGTATTGTTTTAACTTTTAAAAAAATGACAATATATTCTTAACATTGGAATACCCATGTAAACATGAAACGCAGAATAGACGCGTATAATCGCGTTTCTTATTGAAAAACGCAGTGAGACGCGGTTAAAACTGAATTTTCCTACGTTTAGACGCGTATGTATGAACAAACGCATACAAACGCAAAAAGAAAATAATTTGAATTTGCGTCTAGACGCGATCGTGTATATGATCGCTTTTAGACGCAGCTCAAAGAAGTTTTCAATGCGTCCGAACGCGAGGGTCAACAAAATCGCGTTTACAAGTGGTTGATAAAGTTTTTGAAATGCGTTTGTACGCAGTCGCATATGTTAACGCGTAGATTTGCAGGTATAGAAAATCGTCGAACGCGTTTGGACGCGGTATTAACTTAAACTGCGTTTACAAGCGGTTGATAAAGTGTGTTGAAATGCGTTTACATGCAATCGCATACTTGAACGCGTCTATACGCAGTTATACAAAATATCCAAACGCA